CTATTTTCCAGAATTCCACTGATAATATTTGTTGGAAAAAGTATTTTCCTGCTGCCCTGACTTGTTCTCAGTGTGGCTTATGCAATTGTTAACTTGCTGCCCTGAAGCAAATCAAATCAACAAATATTTGCTAGCTCCTGAGCCTGGCCTTGAAGAGGATACAAAAAAAAAAACTGAGATTCACTTTCTGCATTAAAGGAGCAAATTGCCCAGCTGCTGCACCGTGGTTCCCACATATTCTGGAGGAGGAGAAAACTGCCTGTGCTCTGCAGATGGCCCCTGCACACCTGGAGCTCCACTTCAAATACAAGAAACAGCTGGTGTTCATGATTTAAGGCGCAATTCAAATAGTAGAATTTATTTTACAAGCTGTCTGGTTTGGCAGAATTCCAGAATTCATCAAACAGAAAGATAAGGATGATGATGATAACGATAAAAATGATTTTTCATTGTTGGTCTTAATATAGTGACATAAAAGAAGTGCAGTCTACATGGGACATTCCTGAGCGAGGACATACCCTCAGCTTCACCCAAAACAGACCTACAGCAGGGCGTTACAGCACCTGTGAAAACCAAAGGTGACCCCCTATAATCGGTACAGTGGTGCTTGGAAACCCGGGAAGATTTTGGGAAACGTTAATCCATTTTAACATGGAGAAGCTCCCCGAGAAAGACCCCAATATTTCAAGACCCAAATGCTACTACGTCTTAACATCCAACTAGTGATTTCCATGAACTGTTGATTTTTTGTCATTAAGGCTCAAAGAAAGTCTAAAGAAAACAAGGTTTCCAGTTAGAAAAATGAATAACTAGATTCCTAAATGAATTTCCACCATTTCATGAGAACAATAATTCTAGCTAACACATAATGCCAGGCCAGGTGCTGAGGACTTAATACATTTCTTTGCTGAGTCCTCTTGATAAGGCAGTGAATACTATGAGTATTCTCATTTCAAAAATGAGGAAACTGGGGATCCCAGAGATCGATTGCATCATGGCCCAAGGTCACAGGGCTAAGTGGAGGCATTGGGGACTTTTCTGCTGTTCCCCAACATCCGTATCTAGAAGACAAAAGGGGCTCTAGCTTCAGGCACCACCTCATGGATGACCGTTAACCCTGTCCACGACCACAGACTTGGTCTGGCAGCAACTTCTTGGAGCCTTCCTGTCCCTCCACCACCAAGGGTTAGACTGTAGGTGGCACAGCAAAGCCCTCCCAAGCGCTGCAAAACACGAGAACTCAAAATCCCTTTCCTGTTACCAATGGATTGTCCCTTTTTCATCTTCCTTGCTGTCCTTCATCATGGAAAATTCTCGGAGACTGATTGGGTGAGGTTTCAAAGCTTATTAAATTTAAATGTGTTTCAGAAATTTAAGTCATGCTCATGAACGTTCATGGCTCAAGTTTTCTGTTTCAGTAGGGTCTTCACTTACAGATAAATTAATTACTTGTCTTAAACAAGAAACAGACTGTTGAGATTTTTCCATTCATAAAATATGGATAATAACATCTAAGCCATTTTTTTCTCACATGGTTTGGGGGTATATAAAGTAAAAGTTAAAAGTAAATTATTATTATTATACAAACCCAATACCATCTCCTCTAGCTTTCCCAACCTAGAGGCAGCCCCACCACCTATAACTCTCCTCATAGTAGTCCATTTTCTTTTTTTATAACCACTCTCATTATCCAATTAAATTTTATAATTTCATTGTTTACTTGAGCACTTCCTGTTTTGCCAACCATAAGGGAATTCCATGTAAGGAGGATTTTTGTCTTCTTGCCACTCCACTGTTGGCATCTAAAACCACCCCTGGCACACACCAGACATTCAATAAATGTACACTGAACAGCAAAGCTTTTTTGTGCTAAAATCTGTACCTCTATAAACATTTTTAAAATGGATTTCAGGTCTGTAGAAGTAGATTAATCATAATCCTTGCTTAATGGCAACTCATCACTGATCTGTTCATAGCCCTCTTTTATTATTTATTTTGCTCACTAATGAAGTTTTCTTTTTTAATCATGAAGTAAGTACCTGAAAAATAGAACCTAAAACAAAACCTAGGTTTTTCATGGAACCATAGTGCCTCTCCTTATCAGAGGCAATCAACATTCAGAAACCCAGATTCTTTCTTTATTATTGTCTGAAGCCCATTTTCCTTAGCATCTAAGCCTGAGATGGGATCCTCATGTAGATGATTTATTGAGGGGGCAACTCAGGAAAGGGGGGTGCTGGGAGTAAGTGAAGATGTGGAATCAACTGCAGACTGGATTGAGAGTCTAGGAGCACACTGGCCAGGATACCGACTCCATCCTGAGACCAGAGGAGCTGTTTGTACCAGAGACAGTCTTGGGGGTGTGAGTGACATAGGGAAAGCAGGTGTGGAGCCTCCTGGGTGAGGCAGCCCCCACTTGGCAGGGGCCAATTCTTCAGGGAGGAATGGCGCCCTGAGTTGTTGGCAGCCAACACGTAGTTGATGTATTCAACGTGGAGAATGGGGTGCTTGTGTTTACTATATTTTGTTTCCTGTTTTGTATCGTTTTACCAAACCAAATTTTACATGTCTTACAAGCATGTGTGTGTGTGTGCATGCATGTGTGTGTGTGTATAGTTCAGTTATTTGGAACTTTCTAGAAAGGAAATCATATTAACATTTTTGGTAGGAAATCATACTAACTTTTTTGACCATTGTATAATATTTCAGTATGTGAAAATGTCATTTGTTATGCACCTATTCTCCCCCTGATGACTTTCGATGGTTTAGAGTTTTGCCACTATGAGCTGTATGACCACGAACAGTCTCATCTATGTCTCTGTTAATTAGGTATCAGAATTTCTTGACTTTGTGCCTGGGGTGGAATAGCGGGATCCTAAGGTGTAAACTTTAGAAGATAATGCCAAACTATTTTCCAAAATTGTTTTACTAAGTCATATGCCAACTAATAATACATAAAAGATCCTATCATCCACCTCCTCTCCAACTTTTTGTGTAAACTGAAATTTCTGTAAATTGAAAGAATACTACATAGCATCCCTTTGTGATCTTGAACTACACGTCTTTGATCATTCATCATCCTTTCATGTTTATCATATTTACCTGTTTTCTCTTTTGTGAAATTCTTGCTCATACCTATGTCCATTTTTCTACTGAGTTATTTCCTTTTTTCTTTTTCTTTGATGGTCTGCAGGAGCTCTTTATACATCTTCTGACTGCTGTGTACATTATAAATATCTTCTAGTATATAAATATCTTCTAGTATATAAGATTTTTTTTAAGCTTAGTTTCTACCTAAGTAACCTTAGTTTATAACATATTGGTTTCAGGTATACAGCATTTTAATTGACATCTGTAGACACAACATTGTGATCACCACCAAAAGCCTAGTTTCTCCCCACCACCATACAATTGACCCCCTTTGTCCAATTTACCTACCCACATCTTAATTTTTTTGAAAGTCACAGGTATCAGGGCTTCATCTTACGATATTCACAGGTTTCTTATGACAGTTTTTCGTGTCTTGTTTTATAAACCTTTCCATTAAGGGCTCCAGAGGACAACCTCAATCTCGGGGACAGACAGAGGATTCACAAACGGGGCCAAGTTACAAGCTAGTCAGAGAAGCGAGAATTGTGCCTACATTGTCTGTTGTGAAGCAGTCTCAAGTAGCCACACAAACGACCAGCTGGCAGGTGTGTTCTGGTTATAGAATTGGATATATCATGCTATTAGAGCTGGATACCATTAAAAATTCTAATCATAGACTGTAATTAACTTTCCTTGCTCTGACGCCCGCTCACTAAACAACCTTCTGATTATAATTTGGCTTCCCATGTATCTTGCCTACAGGGAGAGAATGTACTGTTCAGCCGACGTGAGAATCCAATCCACTAAACAGTTACATGCCATGATGTAAATTAATAAATTCGTATTCTGATTTTATCATCTGTCTCATCTGAGCTCCGTAGGCGTGAGTCAGCATCTCCAAGTCTAATCAACAGGGACACCAAGAATATCGAGCTTCTTAGCTAAAAAACTAAGGACTAGACCCAGGACCAGAACAAAATCACCAAGGTAACATTGCCCTGGAGGCCCCTCGGTCTGATGGAGAAGGCCTCCCTTCATGTCATGTGATACGGGTGGGGATTAAGATTGACTTTTGACATTATAAAGAACTGCATATTCAAAACCATGGCTTGGTTCCATTCAGGTGAAGGCAAAGAATAAGAGATGATCATGAGACTCACATTGAATATTTATTGGCTTATGAGCACACACCAGATGCTGCACAAATCCTAGGCAGAAGGGTAAGATTTACAGACATATTTGAAAAGGGGGGGAAAGGAGGCAGATGGTATGTGCTGTGAAGGATGGAACAAGAGCAGCCTGACTGATGAATCTTTGCTTCACCTTGGTCCTCAAGGGCCAGGATGGAAAGGGAAGAAGACAACTCCAAAGACAAAAATAAAAGGGAAGGAGGAAGGGAGGAAGGAGAGAAAGGAAGGAAGGAAAGAGAAAGGGAGGATGGTGGGAGGAAGGGCGGAAGGAGGGTACACCAGAGCACAACAGGAATGTGCCAGGGCAGTGAGATTATCCAGGCCAGAGGCGTGATTTAGGACCTGGAGGGTGAGGGCAAGATCTTTGAAGTGAGTTCAAAAGGCAAAGTGGTGATGAGTCCATTAGGACAGATGGGGATAATTTAGCAATCCCGCTCTTTAGATCACCATTCCATGCAGGATTTCTGAGAAAGCAGACCCTATAGTGACACAGATCCCCTTCTGGGAGCCCAGTTACACTGAATAATAAAGAGAGGAAAGTGATAAGGACTGTGGCATCTGGGAATTTTTGGCTGTGATGGGCAGCGGATCCTCTGCTTTGTATTCAGACTAAAAACAAATAAACACAAACCAAAAAAACAGGCAATGACCCACACTGATGACCTTACAGGATTTATTTTCAAAGAAAATATGTTCCAGAAGGAATGAGATAAAGAGAAGGAAGTTCTGCATCCCCTGTGAGACTGGTCTAAAGAATAAGCACGGTCTCCCCGTGCCTCTCTGGGGCCCCACCAAACGCAGTCACTGGCTTGGCTGCAAGGCATTACACACACTGAGATCGGGATCCCAGAAAGCCAACTCAGACCTCTTTTAGTTCTAAAACTGAGTTAGCAACAGGCTACCTACTAAGGGGCAGCCTGCCCAGCCAGCTGTGTGGGAGCAAAGCGCAGAGGACACAGTAAAACAACAGGACCTAGAAGCTGACAGACGGCTTCTCACGGGCACCCCTGGAATTCATAAACAGGGGCTAACCTGTGTTCACTCCACAGCAGAGGGCTCTGACTTGTTACCTGAAAGAACAACCCTCTTCCAGAACGGCCCTGGTGTGTGTGCTGCAGGGGGTGAGCTGTGGTAGACAGGGGGGCCCTTAGTAGAGGTTGCAATCCATGGGGGCCCTCTAGTACAGGTTGTCCCGCACATGCTCCATGATGGTCTTCAGCCCCAGCCAGGTCTCCTCTGCCGTGGGGATGATCTGGTCAGCGGGCAGGAGGAAGCCGTAGTGGCCAGTGTCTCTCAGCTCAAAGGAGAAGGCGTACTTGATGCCATGGTCATAAGCCCAGTCCATGCTGCTGCCGCTTGCTGGGTCTGTAAGTCAGAGGAGGAAACACCCTTGAAGTCCAGTATCTCTCTCTCTCTCTCTCTTTTAAATTATTCCTCCTTACTGCTTCTTGTTTGTTTATAAAATACGTCCCTTGAGGCAATGTGGATTTACAGCACTGTTCACGTTTCAGTGGGATCCCTTCACCAACGTGGTTATCGCACGAGCCGACCGTCCACTTCCACCACAGTCCTCTGAGGCCCCCACTTATGCCTTAGCTCCCCCACCCCCACCCCGTAGCCTCAGTTCTGCCTTGGCATTACAAGAGTTGAAGTCTGTTCCCTGGCTTTGCATTTTATATTCCGTATACAAGTGATGAAATCATCCTGCATTTCTTTCTGCTTCTGACTTATTTTGTTTAGTATCATTGCCCTCCAGTTCCATCCATGTTGTTGTAAACTGGAGCCCAGTGTCTCTTGGGGTTAGACGGGAAGGGGCCGGGAGCTCTGCCTGCCAGTGGTTCCCAGGGATCCAGGGTTCTTCCTCAAAGTCATCAGACCTATGACATGTAGGCAGGCCTGTCTCAGGCTCGCCTCCCACTGGGACGGTCACTCGCCCCCCCACCAACTGATTTTAAATCTTTGTTCCTACCTTGTCACTAACACACTGTGTAGACCCCTCGACACTGTGTAGGTCACTCGAAATCAGTTTTTATAGAGGAAGAATGGGGGAGACAGCCTCCAGAGAGCCCAGAGGCCCTTGCCTCCTGGCAGTCTCATCCAGCGTAGGGCCCATGCGTGTGGGGGATCTGACCCGTGCAGGAATGAAGGTGTGCCACCTTCAAAGCGAGGGCACCAGAGATGCAGCGGCTTTGCCTGGCTTTCTCTCTATTCTCTTGTTCTGTGGGAAACTGGCTGCAGTGCTGGCAGGACCCCCAGAGAGAAGTCCACGTGGGGAAGCTTGAGGTCTCCAGCCAGTCTCCAGGGCTCTCACTTCGCGCCTGACCCCGGGAGAGACCCTGAACCAGTGACCCAACCAAGCCACTCTTAGATTCCTGGCCCACATAATCTGCATAAAAAAGGAATGTTTGTTGTGTTAAGCTGCTAACACAGTGGTGGATAGCTTTTTACACAGCCAGAGATAACCGGTACCCAAAAAAGAAGCACAGCCCTTGGGACTTCCCTGGCCAAAAGGCTGGGAAAAGACAAGAGAAGGGCCTGGTTTTCTTCCCCAACTCCGCTGACATTGGCTCATCGTGCACAGTGCAGATGACTTTAAGTAATGAAATGATGACGTCAATCGTGGTCAGTGTTTATTGATCATCGACCAGGAGCCAATTGCTTATCCTGAAAACTTGACATGTATAATCTCATTTAATCTTTAAAAACCCAACAAGGTAGGTGTTATTATCCTTGTTTTATGGACTAGGAGATCCAGCCGAAAAGCAAGTTCTCTGGGAAGTACTAGCAGAAAGTGGAGGGTGAGAATTTAACCCCAGTTTCTTCTGATGAGAGAAAGCCCAGGTTTGGTCCAACCTACTTCTAGTCCATTCGGTACATGACATGTCTGTTAAATAAAAACGGGTCTCTTGTTTTGCCATATTGCTGAGAGTTATTTCTCATGAGGCCATTTATGATTTTTCTAGAGATGCTGCTTCCACTCTTTGGGTTCACAGAACAGACTACCCCGTATTCTCCGGGACCCTCATGTTGTTCCCATAGCCTTTCTCTACCCTCTAAGAAACAGACAGTGACGCCAGAGGTTAGAGGAGGTTATTTGAATGGGAAGCTTAAATACAATATTTCATGAGAAATTCAGGAAGGAGGCCTGAGCAGTCCAAGAGATCAAGTTGAAGAACTTTGCTTTATTTGTGTTCCTGCTCAAAGTCTATCGTCTCTTTTTAATTTTTTTTTTACATAAATGGGAATATACTATCCACAGTGTTTTTTCACTTAATGCTTAAAAGTTATTCCTTATCAGCACAGAAAGGGTCTCACTTCGTCTTCATTCAGGCCAGGACGGGGCACGTCCCAATGTCTGAATACATTGAGTGTGAGCGACCTGCTCCCTAGTAGTAGATATTTAGACATCTTATTAGAGGCTCATTGGTCCCTTATGAATATTTTCAAATTGCCATCCTGACCACTCCTGATTGACCCGTGAGCCAAACCAGCTCAAAGAAAGCTGTTTCCAAGCCCTTCATAGGTCAGAATCAGGGAAGAGGAGGTGGAAGACCTGCTAGAGGCAGGGGTCCTGAAAGCCCCTTCTGAGCAGAAGGGGCCAGGACAACTCGAAAAAGCCGACACCAGAATTAAAGCCACAAAAGGATTCTGGGCTGTTTAGCAGAGAGCTGGAAGGCCCAGCATAACATCTGACAGTCACGAGGCTCTCAGCCCTGAAGAAAGTCCCTGCACTCTCTTCTACGCATGTTGGTTTCAGAAGGCGGGAAAGGGTGGAATCCATTTTAGAACGATTTTTCTCTAAAATGGCCAATGTAAAACAAGGTCCTGCACTTGAAGGGGCACAGGTTAGCTACATGTCGCACATTCGTGGTCTTATGCAAGACTTGATTAAATCGCTGGAAAGGAAGGAGAGCAGACAAAGCCTAGAAAGAACACACAGATGGGCTTTTGCAAGAGCCAGGAGTTTTTATGCGTCCTGGACAACAAGGAGGGGAGCTTTCCCCGTGGGTTGCAGGAACCCGACACCTCTCTCTTGATTTTGGCCTAGTTCACAAGGGGGAGGAGGATGTGTCTGCTGTAGGAGGACAAGACCATTCTTTAAACTTGTGTTTGACCCAAAAGCCAGGACCCTGGTGACCCACAAAGATCTTCTGAGAGGATCTTTGGTGCCAGAAGGCACCTCGCCAGCCTTCAGAGCTCTCTTTGGTCCCTATTCTGTCCTGACTAATTCAGCAGGAGGTGGAGAAACTCTCCTGATGTGTTTGTTCTCTGAGGAGTTCCCATGTAACCAAACTAATAATAATAAGCCATGAATAATTAATGGTTGTTGCTGCAATTAGCAACACAAACACCAGCATCATGCTAACTGTTCCACGCAGCACTTGAAACAAACAAGAGAGCAGAGATCACAGTAGAGAGCCCAGGAGGTGGGATGGAGAGTTCCTGTCCCTAAAGGGGAAGCTTCACAAGGGGAAAGCCAGTTGAAGCAGGTAGGATGGGAAGGTGAGCTGCAGTTTGGAAAAGGAGGCACTAGAGAGGAAAGAGGGGTGCTGGCTTAAAACATGTTTGTATTTATAGTTCCCATTTATAGCTAGGGTCTTGGAGAATGATCATATTCTTCAATAGAAGCTTTAAAATAAGGGGGCTAGAAAGATCTTAGCAGGAAAAAAAAATGCTTAGATGAAGATGAATGAGACACCAAAATAGAGGTATTTCCTCAAGAGAAGGCTGAGGTTGTGAGTAATGAAACTCAAGCATCAGCAGGTTTGGCATCTTGCTAAAGGTTTGGGGTGTCTCTGGGTTTCTTGCTGATCATGATTGGGAACACCTCCTATCTCAACTCCCAGCTGCCCCCAACACGTGTTCATTTCTGAAAGGACAGTGAGGGAATCTCTCCCACCCCCTCTCCCACACCCTGGGCTTCCACTCCAGAGGTAGATGATAGGTTTGAGGAATTTTTGATAAATGATGTCAAGGTCTTTAATGAAGATAAGGAACACAGACACTGCCAGGCCGAGGGGGCTTAACTCTTCACGGGTACGTGCTGAACTGCACAATAGTGGTGGTGGAGATACAGACGAAAAGACTGTGATGGCTGTTCTCACACAGGCATGACATAAATTCAGACCAGTACTAACAACACAATTAGACAATGCAGGTGTCGAACTTGCGATTCTTTTCCTGTTCCATTGCAAGTTTCCTCTCTCAGCGTTTTTCTAAACAACCAATAAAAGCAGATACTTACAGACGGTGGTGCAGGTAGGGCCCACATGGTATTCAGTGCCCGACAGGGAGGCCAGAGCCGTGGCCGCACGCCTCGCCACATCGTCCTAGGAGGGGCGGTCAGCAGAGTGAGAAAGAATCCCGCAGCCAGACAGTCCTCACTATCACGCACTGCAAAGGTTTGGAAGATCCTCGGCCCCTCCCCTGATATTCCTTTCTGGGCTCTTCTTCTTTCCCATCCAACCAGAACCAGACTTGACTGGGCCTTAAGTAAATGGCCTATTTCCTCCAACTCCTCCTCCCACTATGTCCCCGGTTCTTTACTTCCAGTTTTGGGAAAGGGGTAAAGAGACTGGTGGGAGATAAGCGCTTGGGGAGTGTGTGCACTGTATGCTCAGACTGGATGAGCTGTATGAGCCCTCCAAATTGCTGGGGGACTGTTCGCCAGCCCCTAAGGAATCCAGTAAAAGGACCATCATCTTCACCTCTGCTCAGGGAAGACCAAGTGTGTCCAAGAGAAAACCCACAAAGAGTTGCTGTTCCAGAGCAGAGGCAGACAGGCTGCCCTAGAAAGATGTGTGTTACCCAGACAACTGCGGGAGACCAAAATCTACGCCACACCCAGCCCCAAGTCCCACATGTACCAGAAGCTTTGTGGCTTAGCTGTGGCACCGAGCTGGAGGCACATTAAGCTGACCAGCACTCAGGGATGGGCCTGTCCTCAATGCCAGCCCTCCTCTGTCAGTCCACCCTCAGTTCTTGGTCCCATCCCAGGAGGGATTCCTATGCATGGCACAGAGCACCTCAGGCTGTGGCCTAACACCCTCCTTCAGCTCTACCTTAACCTGGGTGAGGAGCACATGCCCCTTGCCCACCAAAATGCCTCCTACTGTTCTTGGCAAACAATGGGATCAAGTGTGGTTCTTGGAACTCAAAGCAAACACAGTGCTAAGGGCCCCCCTTATTTCAGGGAGTGAAGACTGGACCCAGGGTGAAATGAGCCCAGGTTCCTGGGTGCTCCCTAGAAGACTGTGGGACCCACCTGGGCAGGCCCAAGAGTGAACGAAGGCAGCTACCACTCACCAGCTCTTCAGCATCCGGGGCCTTCTTGACTGTGTACCCGTAGGGATACATCAGCAGCTGTGAGTAGCTGTGAATGTCGATGAAGCATTTGAAATTCCCGTGGTTCTGGATGAAATCAACTACTGACTTCACCTCCACTTCTGAGTGGACACGGGGTCCATGGTACACTTCGGAGCAAGGGTTACTACTGGCGCCTTCTCCTAGGAGGCAGCCCAAGAACAAACATCAGTTCATTGGCCAAGCAAACAGAAGTTCAAGGCAGTCGACCCAGAGGAAGGACAAAAGGTATTGGCCACAGGCAGGTACCCCTGCCCCCACCATTACCTGGTCCACGTGTGGATACGTCGTGGGGAGGGATACAAAGAGGGGATGTTGGAGCAGGAAAAGGGATAGGATTCCTTTAAATGGCTAGAGTTGACCTTGTATTGTATCACAAACAGTTGTCTTAAATAATTAATATCACACTTGACAATGAGTTGAAATTAATAAGTATGCTAGATAATTAATATGAATAGCAATTAATAATGAAAATGATTCCATTTATTCTGGTGTCAACTCATTCTCTTGGTTCAGATGTTAATGGCCAAGTGCTGCCAGAAATAATCTATTGTTGTGGCTAAACTCTCTTGATTATTTGACAAGTATTTAGAAATATTGCCTTCTGTATTACTTCACAGTACAGCTCCCTGAGGTCTCTGGTGTGTGTGTGAAACCACCCAGCTGTGGGAATAGCTGGTTTAACTTTGATGCCATTGGTTCCCACATTTGTATCAACTCCTTTCCCACAGTCACAGTTTTTTTTTTCCTTCAATGGTTTATGTGGTGTTTTTATGCATGTTAAAGAAGTACATTAAGAACAAAACATCAGTTCAGCTGTGGAACAGGGAGAGCTATTCAGATTCAGAGTGGGAAGGTGAGTTTAGATGCTAATCAACCATAAGCTCTTGAGTTGGTCTCTGAGCTTCAATTATCTCATTTAAGATAATAAAATGCACTCGCTGGGTCAGAAGAAAAAGGAAGATAATATACAGGAAGTCACTGTCATTATTGTGCAGATGGTTTTTAAAAAGTTGGAACTAAGAATCCAGCTCTCCTAATTCCCAATCTCCTTCAGTGATACTGAAGGGCTGAGGTCCGTCTGTACCCAGGTGAGGGTGAACTGTTCAGTGTTAACCTTCATGAGGCAATCTCACTTGGTAGGATAACAATAGCAATTGCTCTCTTCTGAGTTGCTACCAGGAGTCCTTCAACCCACAGAGAAGCTGGGAGAGCCAGAGAATAAGGAAGGCCTGTGAAGGTTATAGCTAAGACAAAGGTGGGTTTTAAAATACTTCATTCTCTCAGGAAAACAGGAATTCCTCCACCACTCCCCCTCAGATCCTCCCCAACCCCAGCCAAATTTTTTTAAATCAATACATGAGACACAGAGAACATAAGGGCTTCACCCAGGTTAGTCAATGAATCAGCGATGGAGCCAGCCTGGGAATTAGCAGCCAACCTGGAGTCCATGGACCAGGCTGCCCATGGTAGCCAGACTGGAGAACTGTCCCCCCACCAACCTGCAAAACTGGCATTCCAGTTTCTATTGGCATCAACACCAACACAGGAGCTTCCGGGGTTTATGGACCGCGTCTTCCTCCATAGTCGATTCTGGAAATTCACCAAGGAGAAAACAAGCCTCCAGAGATCAGTCAGGGCACAGGAATGGGCAGAGGTTTTCTTGGGGCAGGGGTGGGGGGGGGATGTCACCCCAGTTTTGGAGACCCATCCGGGCTCCATTCCTAACTGATGGACAGTTTCCTCTTGTCCCCCATAAAAGAAGGCTTCACCCTCTTGCTTTGAGACTGGAACTGCAGCCAACTGCCCCTGAGAGCTGATGATATTTTTTGGTACATGCAGGACAAACACACAATTTGCAACTCAGTGATCACTGGTGCACCAGGACATGCACAGCAACTGTTTTATTCTTGCCTAAAAAGTTCACCTGGATCCAATTAAATCTGGAAAGCTGACTACGGGTGAGTAGGAAGTAACCCAGGCAAGGGGACATAAATGTGCACAAGAAGGGAGCATGGTGCTGGTGTAGGTCTGGGGACATCCTAAAGGACACAGGACTTGGTTTCTCCAACAAATGTGTGTGTGGTGTTGGGGTGGTGACTGTTGTAGAATAAGAGTCTGCAGAGCCACGGCAACCAAATGCAGGTGGGGACTCGATGGGGACTCTGATGTCAACACGCTGAGTCTTTAAAGATGGTCTGCAGAATTAGAGGATATTAAATACTTCCATTGCCTGTTTACAGCTGACAGTGGTGTAGTGTATAGCACCTGCTTGTTTGTTTTAATTATCATCAGAGATGTACACACAGTTTTGGGTGAAATAACATGGTGTCTGGGATTTACTTTAGAATGTGTGGGAGGGAAAGAAATGAAAAGAAGTGGGAAATGGGTTGGTAGTTGTTCGAGATCCATGATGGGGAGTTCATGAGACATTTCTAAGAAAAAAAATTCCTGGGCCCTCCCTGGTGGCGCAGCGGGTTAAAGCACAGCACTGAGAAGCTGAAGCCACTTCCGCATGAGTTTGATTCCCGCCTGCCCCGGAGGAGACTGCATGGGGCAGCAGACCTCTCCTGACCCGCCCACTGCTCCCCTCAGCAGTGTACTTCGTTGATCTGCCTGTTCTGCTCCCCACTCTGTCTCTGGTGAAGCCTCTCGCCGCCCCTGCACCTCTGGCCTGTACCCCAGTTCTGTATGCATAAATAAATAAATCTTAAAAAACAAAAAAACAAATTCCCTGGTGAGTCTCAGGTCCAAGGATGACCAGAAAGGGAAAGCCAGACTCAGAGCATGCACAATGGTGGAAGTTTTCACAAAGGCCATAAAACTGTTTTAGTGGCAAAGCAAGGAATTCAACAAACAGATCTGAACTCTACGCCTCATCAGCATCATGGTCTTACTCACTTTAGTTTGTGTGTAAACATATCCATCAGGATTGGCCACAGGCAGCAAGAAAATATCCACTTTCTTCAAGATGGAGGTGATGGCTGGTTCCTTCCCATAGTCAGATACAATCTAAGCAGAGACAACGAGCTTGTGAGCTACACCACGGCGGCTGGTTGTCAAATCTAAGTGGGGCAGCTTCCCGAGACGCCCAACTTTGGGGCAGCGTCCACCTCTGCTGCCCCGGCCTCCCTCACAGGCTCTCTCTGCAAAGCCCACAAGCATTTCACAACCTGGGCAAAGGTAATGTCAACTGCAGTGAGTCCTGGCTTCAAGGCTAACCTCTGGCCTTTCTGAGGGCTGACTGAGTTAGTTTTAGGTCCACCTTCCAGCCATGAATGCTCACTGTCATTTAGCCCAAGTGACTGGAAGTGCTGACCTTTTGATTCTTCCATCAGAAAGGCCCCCAGCCTACTATGTCTGTACAGAGTGCCTTCCCACCATAGCCCCTGGGCCCAGCCTCACGGGGTGCTACAGGGGCCTGCAGGCCCACCAGAATTCTTGGCTAATACCAGGCGACATGACCTTCCGTGCGGTCCAGATGGCCGTGGCCTGTGAGATCCACTCCCGGGAATGGATGCCTGCATTCAGCCAAATGGCCGGCCGCCTGCTGCCTTCTCCAGTGCTGAACTGTGGAGGGAAAAAGAGACCAGAAAATGACCCTCCTGCCTGCTTCTCCACTCACCTTTCATCTCCCCAGCTCACCCCTATTCATTTAATCCATTTAAGATAATTCAGAGACCAAATGTTCCTGAGGGCACCATCTATTAATTGGGCTTCTCCGTGACCGGGAAGTTTAATTGCCTGGCTGCCTGGGCCCAGTGGTGAATGGGGCAGCTTGAGCTGCTGCAGGATTGGAAGCAAATGGGAGGGGAAACAATTGCTATTGTGAATGAAAATGCCAGTGCGATTAGAGATAATATTATGCCTCTTGAAAGACCTCAAATGGTAATCCGACAGAGAGAGACACCAGAGTGTAGGAGCCAGCCTGTTGGAGTGGAGGCAATAAAAGAATTCAGTTTGAAAATGAAGACAAAGGGTCTTCACTATCTCTCTTTTGAAATGGCATTAAATGAATCTGGCTCCTGCCTTTGAGTGTTGGGCCCTGTTGGGTCAGAGCATGGTGCTAATGAAGCCGGGGTCTCCACCAGATTGGCAAAGAATCTAAATTTATGCCTAGTATTTTAGCACAAATAGCTCAGTGGTGACTCTTCTCCCGCTGGTAATGTAACCATCGCTCTGACCCGGCTACTTCAGGTTTATAGAAAGCTAAGGACTTGACAAATTCTTAGTTGTCCCATGGTTTCTCTCTCCAAATTCCTTTTTATTCATTTGGCTGGATTATTTTGTAATTTATGTTACTGCCATAAATTCTCTACCTCCTTGGCCAATACAGACCTGAATCTGTTAGAAATATCTGGAAATTAAGCTTTGTGCAGCCAAAGATCATAGGCTGGGTTTAAAATTACATCAACTCTAAAATTGGCTTCCCAGATTGCTATTCCAATAAGCACCCCTAAAAGAGGAATAGAGTTCATAGACCTGTCCAATTTGTCTTGCTACTTCCAGGAGGTTGGGAATGAAGGAAAAAGACGATGGCCCATCTGAGAGCTTTCTGGAATACTAACCACATCCCTTTCCCTGCCCCCATCTTGCCTTTCAATCAGAAGTTGGAAAGGCATGTGGTCTTTCAAACTTGCCTCATCTCAGGTGAAAGCTGGGTCTCTGTCAGATCAAATTCAAGCCCCCAGGGGAGTCCCCTCCCTGAAGTCAAGGTCTTAAAAAGCTGTGTGCCCATCACGTCTCATCCTTTTGGTTAAGATCAAGTGTAAAAAGCTGTGTCCTCCAGAAACCTGAGGGCTGATGGCTGAACACGAGGGAGCCAGGAGCCTGAGTCCAGTCAGACCATTTGCAACACAGGGGACCTCACCTTCAGTACATACATTGGCCGTTTCTCAAATGAATGTCCAATTTCCACTTTGCTCACCAAGTCGGGAAATTCTCTGGCAATGTTGTCCATCTCTTGGTAAATCTGAAGCGTGAAAGAGGGCACCCACAGAATTTTTAAAGTGTTGTTCGGTTTTGGATAGGTATCCCTGAACTCTATCTTGTTGAGCTTAATGATTTCCACTGGGCCCTAGCCTTGGAGTTGACCCTATAGTTGGCTTGGGATGCTTATTTTGATTTTGTGTCTACATATTTCTAGAGAACAAGATCTAATATTTGTCCACCAAATTAGAGTAGTGAGACTTCAGCAAATATTGCTCCAAAAGGGAATGGTCTTTGCACCATCCTGCAATACGTGTAGCCAAGGTTCTTATAAGCAGTGGTCTCCAAAGTGGCCTTTTTGACCACTTTCTCCATCGCTGAAAAAAAAAAAAACCAGCATGCACATAGCACATACATGTATACACACCCAGATATGTGTGTACACAAACACACAGCTACACAATTATATACACTAACAGAAAAATTAGACATAAAAATGGTTGCATTCATAACAAACAGAAATAGGTGCAGAAATATAACTAAAAGTTGTGCTTGTTCCTCCCGCACCCTAGCTTGTTACACCCTGCACTACAGGCACCCCATTTTGGAGAGGATTCTTCTGAAAGCTTTGAAAGAACAAGTGAAGTAAATCATGGTTGTGAATGCTTCCATTTGCTTTCAGTAAAAAAAATAAAAATAAAAAGTTTCATTTAAATAGAATTCATCCATCTTAGTTGTGCAAACCTTTTGCGAGTCAAAAGAAGGAAATAAACAAATTTATATTTAGACCTTCAAATGGAAAGATGTTGTACAAAGGAGGAAAATATGCAATCAATATAGAGTAAATCATACTTAAAGGGTTGATCAGACCTGTAGTCAATATGGCAGATTGAGCAGAAGCCAGAAACCACCTCCCAAATATTGTATTTTATATAGGCAAGCCAGTTAAAATACAATGAAAATGATTCATGGTCACATTTAACAGCCAAAAAAAAAAAAATGGGGTTGGGAGGGTAGGGACGGACATACATGTGCCAGAAGTGAGGAGACACAAAGCAGAGTGGAGAGAGGAAGTTAGATCCCCAGGATCAACATTTGCCTTGGATGCCAAGTATAAGAGTACAGGACCTAAAGAGTGGGACTGGAGAGCTGAGAATCCAATTCTGGCCATGACAAGGGGCCTGGAAACTCTACCCATGGATCCTGGAAAGTGGCCCAAAAGCCACATGGCTGCCCGGAGCCATGGGAAGGAAGAGACACCCAGGAAAAATTCAACCACCAAGTCATGTCCAGACAGGGGGTTCCAAATCCACACCACCAACATCAGAGGAAAACTCACAAACTAAGAAAATAACAGCAACCGCAACCACACACACAAAGGGTCTGAAACTAGAAACCCTGGCAGCGACAGACATGAAATTCCCACTGGAGATCTAAGAAGGCCTAATGACTCTGAGCTCTTAAAAGCTGTTTTCAGAAAGAACTGAATATGATGAAGCCAGGGGGGAGACGGTCCACCAAGCCACAGCAACAGGCCTTTGAGGGAACAAGAGAAAGGTGTAACCCAGATGGCAAAGCAGCTAAAGCCAGAGAACAAAAGCAGGTAGGTGAGAGGATAGCGTTTCTCAGGTCCTAGGTGACATTTGCAGCTGGTTAGCTCGGCTAGGAAACCCATGTTAATGAGCTAACGTCATGGGTTTGATCCCTGTGTGGGCCCTGAGCTCTGCTTTTGTCCCTGGCCCCAGACTGAACTCCTAACTTTATCCAGCTGTTTTGCAGATGTATGTCACTGGTCACACAGGGATCAAGGGGCAGTGTGGTTGGAAGTGTACACAATAAACAAAGCTACTGACAATCATGGGAAAGAAGTGGAAGTAGCTGGTGAATGTTTGAAATAATCCCCATCTAGAAAAAAAAACCTAAAGCCAATCCCCTCACAAAGCATGCTGGCAACACTGTCTTTGGGTCTAAAGAAGCTGTATGCAGGTTCAGGAAGGAGCCCACCATGTAGAGGGGAAGGTGTTCCTGAGCTGGCAGAGAGGTTCCACGTACCGTGCTCTACGTGGTACGGTCCCATTGCACAGCCCAACTTGCTGCCTCGTTCCGACATCATATTAAATTACTCTGCTCTGAGTTTTTCACTGGAAGGGTTAGCTTACCTTGAAAGTCAGCCATCTACATAAAGTGGTTTCTAACTAAACACAGCACCAGAATACATGATGGAACAAATATATGTTATAAGCAGTCATGATAAATGAGTGGAAATATTTGGTTAACCTTCGAAATAACCACTTGTCTACTTTCCTGGAATAAGAGACATTTTAATCTGGTTGAATAAAATACAGGGATTATGGTGGGGTCTGAGAAGGTTGAATTACAAGCCCTGAAAATGATTGCAGTTATTTCATGGTTTTCTTTAAGGGGTTACTTGAGAAAAGAAGGAAGCATGTGAGAGAAAATGTCTGTTTGTGTTTCACGGTGCTCATAGATGCAGGTGGGGGTCAACCCCCAAAACTAGAAGGGGCGAAAGTGTGTAGGCAGACCGTAGTTTATTGCCCTGCAAAAGGACAGATCCTTTCCTTTTCACAAATGGAAAGTTTGTGTCAACCTTGCAAGGAACAATGCTACAGGTATCATGTTTCCAACAATGAACTAAAGCATTAGAATATTTTTAATAGGGCCCACCTCAGTGGCACAACAGGTAGGATGCAGCACTGCAAGCTGGCTGCAGCCACTTCTGTACAAGTTCGATCCCCAGCCCCAGAGGTGACCCACATGGCGCGGCAGACCTCTCCTGACCCGCCCGCTGCCCCCCCCACCCCGCAGCAGTGTGCTTCGTCGATCTGCCTGTTCTGCTCCCCACCCTGAATCTGGTGAAGCCTCCCATCACTCCTGCACCTCTGGCCTGTATATGCATCAGTAAATAAATCTTTTTTAAAAAGTCTTCTCTCTAGCTTACCTTATTAAAAAAAATATTTTTTAATAAAGCACCAATTTTTTTAAATGCATAATACCACTGCACACTTAATAGATAATTCTATATGCACTGGGAAACCAAAGAAACTGTGACTCATTGCATTGCAACATTCCCTTTACGGCAGGAGTCTGGAACCTGCAGCACGTCTAAGCTGTGCCTTCACACATTAGCCCCCCCGGAGGGATTCTGTGCTAAGAGCTAGTGGCCCCTGGGAAAGAGGGGGGGTCACAAAACCAGCAGGCAGATGCCCTTGATCTTGGCTGATCCAAACACTTACAGCTTCCAGGGAATGGTAGGACCCGTAGTTGAAGTTATTACTGCTCCGTTCCTGCCCTTGGCTGTGCTGCATTTCTTTATCTTCATTATCTAAAAGGGCCTAAAACAGACACAGCAACATCAGGAAATGACGCCCTGGCAGTGAAGGTTCATATTCTCACCATGGCTGGGCACATGGGCTGGCCAAGATGGTGGGGCCCTGGGCACACATACCAAGAAGCACAAATGTCAAAGTGTGAAAGGGGGTCAGACTTCCACAGACCTCTAAGGTGTTCCTACTTGGAGCCCAATGTTATCGCCCCATGCTAAACACACTTACACCCTGGATGTAACATATGCGCTACTTGCTTATTCTGGACTATGAATTCTCTAGACATCGGCCCGCATCTGGTATCCAGTGCCTCTGACATACACAGCTTGGGAAACCATTCAGAAACAAAGAAATTCTTATAACCACTCATACTTTGAAGGTTCCTGGCAGATGTGTGTGACATGTGAGGATGATTAATAAGCTCACAGCTGCTCACGCCATCAGGAAACTCCCGGGCCAAATCACCAATTAGTCCATAACCCACCTCAGTGAAGGAGAGAACATGAGCCAGGCGCTGTCTTGCTGTTCAGCTATAGGTGGCGAGGCTGTTGCCTCTGCTGGGGGGCCATGGTGACATCCCCCTTTCTTAAGGAGACTTTCAACCACCAGTCTCCAACACCCTTCCACCCACTCTGTTCTTCTCTTCCAACTTCAAATAAGAAAATGGAGAAGACTGAATGCATGTGCAGCTTCTACAATACAATGGTGCCATCAGACATCTCAGGTGTAATGGACGCTTGATCTTCTCAATAAAGCGCACAAGAGAAGCACCACTATTTCCATTTTCATCGATGAAGAAACAGAGGTTCAAGGGTTTCATTCACCGCTTGTTCAAAGTCCCACGGCTACTAGTAAGCAAAGTCAGGATTTGGTTCCAAAGGTTTCCTGACTTATGTATGCCCTTTCTACTACATGTTTCTCTAACTAGTCCTTGCACTTTGCTGCCATATACCAAAGTTTCTTCATCTGTGAAATGGGGATGGATAAGTACAGAACTTGAAAACGTCTCAGGTCCATTCTGGCTGTTTGGTCCCAACGAGAACAGTGAGGGGGACCTCAGTCTACCCACCTGCAGGTCTTCAATAGTCACTGCATACTCTAAGCCCTGGGACTTCAGGAAGGATTTGACCGGTAGCAGACTGACCAACGGGACCAGCACATCTACAGGACGACCGAAAGTGCTGGGGGTTTGCCAGAAGTTGAGCTGAAGTAAACAGAAGATCAGCCAGGTTAAAGGACAGCTCAGGTAAAAAGCACAATGAGTTCATTCTTGTAGTACAACTGCCAAAAGCCAGGATGATCCCTGAGGAGCTGGGTTCTCCCCAAGGAAACCCACTGCCTGTTTCGCAACTGTATTCAGTGGGGCCTCCCCAGCGGCTGGCAATCAGAGGGGGAAGAATCCAGGATGATAGATGGAGCCAAGGACCCCACGCCCACCCAAGTACATCTCCCCATCGACTCTCCACCAAGGTGGGTGGATGACATGCACTGGACATAGAAACCCTTCAGGAATGACCCTGCTGGTGGTGTCAGCAGCTAAAGATACCCACCACAGCTAAGATACTCAAGGAGACTTTGAACCAAGTACCTTAAAGTTGTTTGAATTCACTAGCTCCCTTAATTTGCTCATCTCGACTCCATTTCTGACGTTAATCCTAAAAACTTGATCCCTAGAGAGAGGGGGAAAAAAAAAAGCAAAAGAAAATGGTGAGCTTTCAGTTGGCAAATAAGCCCAAGCCTACTGTCCCAGACATAACTGGGCTGAGTGAGAGGAAATGGTCTAGTCTTTGGTTATAATGTATAGCCATTAAAAATAAGACTACGTGGCAAATATGAAAAAGTGCTTATGGTATAACTTTAAAGGAAATATTAAGTGAAAGAGCAGGACACAGAATTGTATGTATGCCATGATTACAAGGATGGAAAAAGCAGATGCATTGGAAGAAAAACAGACAGCGGAAACACAGCAAATGCTGACAGCTCCGTGCTCAGGTCGTGGGATTATGGACGACTGCCTTTTTTTTTCCTCCCTTGTATCTGTTTTCTGTAATGTGGTCATATTACTTTATAATGAAAAACATATATATTTTTGCAGAAAGGAATGTTCCTGAGTTACACGCAAAGCTAACTCAAGACATAAAGACGTATTTCTTCACTGTCAGAAGCCAGGACTAAAACTGGCCGAACATCCCTGCTGGAAAGAGCTAGAGAAGAAAGCCAACTTGCAGGCTTGGAGGGTTAGCTGTCTACCCCCTAGCAAAGCGGGGAGAGACCGGGTGCTGGCTCGGGACTGGCCAGCTCCAGAATCCTAGACAGTTACAAATCACAAAATGACCCGGCGCTGAGGCTGAGGTTGGGATTTGGTCTCTCACGGGGGCCCGGAGCAGACCCAGAAGGGAGCTGCCAGTCTCGAGCCACTTTTTGCTGTTTGTCCTGCATTTGTTTCATAGACACCATTTAGCTTCCGCAGAAGCGGCAGGGGTAGAGACCCCCGAAGTCCTGTGTGTGTGTGGGTGGGGGAGGCCAAGCCTGAAAAGTCCCCTTTGTGCTCTCAGACGGCTCAGGGAGCCAGGGGAACCATTAGACCGTTGCTAGGTGACAGCCCAGTGAATCTGCACTCGACGCTGTCACATGCGTCATCCCTTTGACAGGAATGAATGCGAGAAGAGCTGCTGGAGAGGGCTGTGACTGAAGGACCTGTTGACAGAAAAAATGTTCTGTCACAGGGAGCTAAGCATGCAGCCTCACGTGGCAGATGAGCAATCCTCACAGACAACCAGCCCTAACCAGATGGACGCTCAGGCTTAACTTTGTTCTGGGGTGTTCTGGAGGACCTCCGGGGGGTCTGGTCCAGCCCCAAGGAGACAAGGTTCATTGCAGGTTGCACCTACTGCAGGCGGTGGAGCTGGGAAAACGCCAGAGCCAATGGCTCGTTTTCTCCCAACCTCGTTGATCTCCACAGGGCTGGAGGGGGGCACTAGCTGTACCCGATGGGCTCTGGGGGCTGCTGAGGCCAGAGTGGAGAAGTCACCGACTCGGCAGGTCTCAGTCTGAACCCGAGAAGCTTGCTAGGAGTTGGGCTGCAGCCCTGAGAAGATGGGGAGTCCTAGTCGCGTCCCTGACCTGGGCCGCAGCCTTGCCAAAAAGGGGCAGGTTGAAAAACAGAAACAAAAGCCTTCACCTGGCAGGCTACCAAGGTCCATCTGCCCACTTCCTACTCTCTCACAGCCCACCCCCGCTTCAGGAAAAGTGAATGTTCTAGGAAGCACCTATATGCACTGGCCCCTCTATGGCAAAATTAGTCATTTGAGGGAGGAAACAGAAATTTATAATCAAAAGAGGAATGGAAGGAAAAGGAGCTTCTAGGACTAAAATCACATTACACATTCACCTACAGCGCGTGTTTTGTTTTTCCTAAAGTAGTAAGTTCGCGATGGAACAGCCACACGCGTGGGCACAATTTTCAAACTCCTGGGTCCGAACAGTGGAATGCTGTGATTTTTTTTTTTTTTAGATTTATTTATTTATGCATTCAGGAATGGGGGCATAGGCCAGAGGTACTGGGTTGGCGGGGGGGGGGGGGGGGGGGGGGGAGGTGAGAGGACTCACCAGAGACAGAGTGGGGAGCAGAACAGGCAGATGGACTAAAATCCACTGCTGAGGGGAGCAGCGGGGCAGGACAGGAGAGGTCTGCTGGGCCATGTGGGTCACCTCCCTGGCCAGACATCGAACTCGTGCTGCAGTGGTTGTGGACAGCTTCATAGTGCTACACTTTAACTCGTTGCACCACCAGGAAGGGCCCAGGAATGCTGTGATTCTGACTGGCCAGAGGAAGATGAGATCCGCAGAACAGTCCATCATGCCTGCATCAGCCCCGCGACAGAAGTCACATCTGCAGCATGCAGAGCATTGAAGCAGTGGGCTGCTCTAATATGTCTCTCCTCTATCTCTCCCTTCTACACTCTCTTGGTTCCAGTCTCACCAAAATTCCCAATTCACCCTGGCCATTGTCCTTCTCTGTGACTTTGCAACTGCTGTTCCCTGCACCTCCACATCCAGCCCTTTCTCTTACCTGCCTGACCATCTCCCCCCGGCTTGAAGACAAATTCCAGTCACCCCTGAGGTTCACCCTACTCAGAGGATGCAAAGTTGGGCACAGGGTCCATTGGGTGCTAAAAAGTGGGCAAGTGTCTAAGACTGGTCACATGCACATACATCCACTGATGCCCGGAAGCAGAGAAACTATGCAGGTGAGGGGTGAAGGGCAGTCCTGCCTCTCATCGTCCTTGTCTTCTTTTGGAAAATGCCTCTCCAGGCACTGAGGATGTAGTGACCAGGAACCACCCAGCACCACTCTCCAGAAATTCACTCCAAGACCTTAAACTCTTTCTGAAGAAGGAAGGCCAGCTGGGATGGGGCTGTGTTGGGATCTGTAGGTTCCCACATTCACCCTTATGCATCCACATGGATGTTCTGAACTCTGGCCTTCCCAATACCCCGCGGCTGCCAGCCGGATCCTGGCGATCCCCTCTGACCCACTCTCACACCTGCTCCGAGCTCAGGGCAATCCCTAGTCACCTTGGCACTGCTGTTCTACGTCCTCACACGGGCAGCCACGGCCTAAGCCTGTGCCTCTCGCCTCTGCAGTCCCAGCCAACTTAGCGCCACCCCAGTACGGAAGGAGGATTTCACAGACCTCGAAAATGCCTGCCAGCTACTACTAATGCCACAATCATTCCGCAACCACTTCCTGTTCTCTGTCTGCCTGGCACCTCTAGACAGCCTCACCACCATTCATCTCTAAGATGACTGAAGCCCGGGGCAGAAGACGCCAGCAGAGAGAGAGAGAGATGGGGGCGGTAGGTTGAGTTGGATGAGTCAGGGGGAAGGAAAGAGACTTGGCAGCGCAAAGACCATCCCTTGTCCCCACTAGCACTGTGCCCCTCTTAACCAACCTGTGTCCCTGAAAGCTTAGGACTCAGCTTCCCTTTGTTTAAAATGCTCCCCAACCTGGGTATCTGGGACACGTCTATGATCCCTAAGAAGCACTCCACCACCTTTGCCAGGCTCCTTACTACGGAGTAAGAACAGATTTGGAGCAAGGATGACACTATTGGTTACAACCACCTGCAATTAGCTCAGGCACAGTGTTCCTGCCGTGCCCACTCCAGGGCCCAGCCCAGCTGTCTCAGCCCAGGTGTCTGCCGCATTGTAAGAGAAAACTGTATCCTGAGAAATAAAGATTTTTCAGCCACGTGAATCGCTGCAGTGGGAGCCTGACAGCTCCATGCATCAGCCCACACGGCAGTGAGCATAGTGATTACACACCTACTGCTGAGCTGCCTGTGGGAAAATCTCCTTCCCTGGCCACCTGCTACGCCTAACCCCTCTGAGCTATTTGGCAGCAGAGGCCAGGTGTGAACAGAAGTCATCGCCATAAAAATTACTCAATCTCATATAAGTAATTACCTCAATAAACAACCTCAAAGTCCTTTTAGCCAGATAGTATAATAGAGAGTAAACTAAAAGGAATAGATGGGCTAGAGATACAGGATTCGATCTGGAGATTAACTTGTGTATGGCAGAAGGCTGTGCGTTCTGCATTCTGAGTTCCAGCTCCCCCGCTTACAGCTAAGTGGCCTTGGGCAGGTTTCCTAACCTTTCCAAGCCTAAGTTTTTTTCATGTTTAAATTGAGGAAAATAACACCCTAGCCTGGAAGAGCCTCATGTGATCCAAAAGATAATGCTCATGAAAGCTCTTTGCAAATGGCAAAGCATTATGCAGTAATGAGTTATTAGAATTCAGTCCTCCAGCAGGCACCCAGATATCCTTTCATCTCTCCTACTTCCCCAATATCTTCTCTGCAAACCTCCAAACATTTGGTGTAAAGCACGTCAGGTATGTGCATGTACTTCACACATATACACGCGTGCGCATACACACACAGAGTGCAGGTGTGTCTCTGCTTGTCAATTCGCACAGCGTAGCCAGGCAAAACCTACCAAATCTCCATGCCCAGATGTCCAAGTATATGCCAGCCCTACTAAGCAGAGAAGGTTACCATTTACAAAGAGGTTGAACCGAAAGCCCAAGACCCAGGTTTTCCTCTAACCATGGCAGAAGTTAGAAACAATATCTAGTTACTCTGGGTAATTCACAACATAAGAGCAGAAAAGTAAGAGATGTCCTGGAACTGACCTTACAAGAACTAGGAAGAGAAAGAACTGGCTGGACATTAGCAAACTAGAGAGGGACCACGTAACCCTGATACCACAGGTTAAAAGGAGCCTGAGAGAGGAGTCCCTTGTCCAGGGTGACCCAGGGGGCGAGCTGGGCCAGGGGTGAGCTGGGCCAGGGGCTCTTTGCCAACCACTTAATCCATCATTTCCAAATCCCTCTGGCTCCTGTATCTTCGAACTATCAAAGACATAAAAAGTCCACAAAGAACTTACCCAGAAAACTTTTCTCGGCCACAGATGCTGGGCCCAATAAGGGCCATAAGGAAGAGCACCCGCTTCATGTCCCAGGTGTCAGTCACGCCGGGGCTGAGTCAAGCTGTGGTTATATAGAGGCTGAGGCAGACTCATATCCTCAAAAATGCAATTCCCAAACACTCTTGCACTGTGACCGTACCTCAGGCGGGCCACTACCTGTAAGCCGTTTCCATTCCTTCTGAGTGATAAAGACCAAGTAAGTTCCAAGAGGAACTTGCTCCTCAGGCTGCAAAAGTCTATGCAAAGGTACCACATAGCTCACTGATTGGTATCTAAACAGCGCTTTTTAAGGAAACAGGGAAGTCCCACAGTGCTGGATGGAATTTAATCTGATAGGCGAGGCCAGGGATAAGCCCACGATAGGGCTATCTCTAGTGTAATAATAAAGTGAAGGCTGTCAAAGAATTTCCACACCACTGCCAAGACCACATGTTGGACAAGCCAGGTCACAGTTTCACCAGAGTAGGTCATGGGACAAGAGTGTCTCCCATGTGATGGAGACCACATGTTGGACAAGCCAGGTCAGAGTTTCACCAAAGTAGGCCATGGGACAAGAGTGTGTCTCCCATGTGATGGAGCTGTCATGTAATTCTTAGGACTCCACTCAGAAAGGAGACATATGAGAGAAATGACATAGGAAGATTGGTTAGTATAAATAAATTATCGATTTTCCTTGGGGCCTGAGCAAAAGGTTCCATAGTACTATCAATAAGACTTTTGCTAGACTCAGAGCCTGGTGTCCGTTCCAGCAGATTAAATGGAAGACATTCTTGATCACCATGATGCTTCAGGGAGTCCAACACCTTCAAGGCTCCTGGGGAGCCCCAAGTCCCACAAGCCTCACAAAAGCCTGTCTAAGGCTTGATCGAGGACAATCTTTGTGAGGAGCTGAGGGGCTGGGGACTTCCTGTTTCCATGGTCTGCATTCTTTCTGTACTGCCCCCAAAGGAGTGGATTTAAACAAGGCTCATGGTTGGGGTATTAAAGAAAAATTACTCTGGCACTTGTAAGAAAGATTCTAAATATGGTAACAGGGAAGTGAGGGGGTTAATGGACAGAAAAATGCTATGAAATGCGAAAAACTTAGCTGTCAAGGGTGGGAGAAGAAGAACTGGATCAGCTCTTAAAGAGTGGGAGTGATGTAGCAGAAATTTCCTAAAAGTGACTTAAACAGGGTCCAAGTGCAAGAATGAGTCAAAAAGGGCTCACAGGAGCCTGTCTAAGGCTTCACGGAGGAGAGTCTTTGTGTGGAGCGGGGACCTCTTCTCTGGGTTCTTTTGTCCTTGGAACACTTAAACTGAACTTCTTGGCCCATGCTACCCCTCACCAAGGCGGGATTCTGGTTCACCAGCAGATTTCAGATTTGAAATTACTAACAAGGTAAACTGAGACTCGATCTGAGAGAAATGTGAACAAGAGAGATCAAATACCTAAAATTCTCCACAAGTCACTTCTCCCCTTCACTCCCCCGGAAAACTCCTCAACATGAAAAAAATCTAACGCCCTGTTGGAAGTGAACAGCTACACAGAAATTGTAGAATCTGACACCCAGGTTTGGTAGGCCACCAGGAAGAAGGAATATCCTTGTTTTGAGTCTCCACCATTTTTTTTTAAAGATTTATTTATTTATGCATACAGAACTGGGGTGCAGGCTAGAGGTGCAGGGGTGATAAGAGGCCTCATCAGAGACAGAGTGGGGAGCAGAACAGGCAGATGGACTGAAATACACTACTGTTGGGAACAGTGGGCGAGACAGGAAAGGTCTGCCGCGCCATGTGGTCACTCCCTGGCCAGGGATTGAGCTCATGCTGCTAGCTTCCCAGCACTGCACTTCTTTTTTTTAAATAACAGTTTATTTTCACATCATTTTGTACAGTTTTTTTTTGCCATCTCAATTGTAATCCCCACGGGGCCCCCATCACCAAGTCACCCGTGTGCCATCACCATAATCCCGTGCACTTGCCCCCCCCCCCGTTTTTGATCCCATTCCCCACTCCACCCCCACAGAATGTCTCTGGTCTATGGTTGTTCATTATTCTTGTTATTTTCTCGCCTGGTCCATTATACTCCTGCTATGAGTGAAACCATCCGGTATTTTTCTTTCTCTTTCTGGCTTATCTCACTAAGCATGATCTTTTCCAGCTCCATCCAAGTTGCTGCAAAAGACATGTGTTTCTCTTTTTTGGTTGCTGAGTAATATTCCATTGTATATATGTACTACATCTTTCTAATCCAGTCATCTACTTTTGGGCATCTGGGCTGCTTCCATGTTTTTCCAATTGTAAATAAAGCAGCAATAAACATGGGGGTGCAGGTATCTTTTTGAATCAGTGTTTTTGTGTCTTTTGGGTAGATACCTAGGAGTGGGATTGCTGGGTCGTAGGGAAGCTCCATGTTTAGCAGTTTGAGGAACCTCCAAACAATTTTCCATAGTGGTTGTACTAGTTTGCATTCCCACCAGCAGCCCAGCACTGCACTTTTAACCCATTGCACTACCAGGGAGGACCCTCCACCAGTTTGTATAATGCAGCTCCAGAAATGGAGCAGCAGGGCACAGGGGGACCAGAACACGCAGCGCCTAGCACAGTGTTTGTACCAAGTAGTTGCTTAATTAGTGCATCTTGAATAAATGAACTCAAACATCCCTTCCTCATTCCGAAATGCTACTCTGTCAAGATGAAGGGGCTGACACAGCCCACACATGGATGAAACTTGGAGACACTATGCTAAATAAAGTCAGTCACAAAGGGATCCGTACTGTACAATGTCACTGGTAGCAGATGCTGCGACTCAGCATATTCATCGAGACAGAAAGTAGGGTAGAGGTTACTGGGGCCAGGAGGAGAGAGGGTGGGAAGTTATTGTTTTCTGGGCACCAGGTGACAGGCTGGCATGAGTTTTAAAAGTCTGGAGCTGGCTAGTGGGAAGGTTCACACCACATTGTAAATATACTTGATGTTCCTGAATTGTAGACATTAAAAGTGAAAATGTTGGGCCCTCCCTGGGTTAAAGCACAGCACTACAAAGCTGGCCACAGCCACTTCAACATGAGTTTCATCCCCAGCCAGGGAGCTGACCCACGTGGCGTGGCAGACCTCTCCTGTCTCACCCGCTGTTCCCCTCAGCAGAGTTCTTGGTCAATCTGCCTGTCCTGCTCCCCACTCTATCTCTGGTGAATCCCCTCACTGCCCCTGCACCTTTGGCCTACACCCCAGCTCTGTGTGCATAAATAAATAAATCTTTTTTAAAAAAAGTTAAATTTTATAATGTGTCTATTTTACTATCATCTAGAAATTGTACAGGATGTTGGGAGCTTTTTGCTCAAGATGGATTGAGAGACAAAGATGAAGAGCTACAGCTGTGTTTTAGGACAACTTGCACTGACGAAATGAGGCCCCCACATCAGGATTAGAAAAAGGAGTCATCACAACTCAACTTTGCTTCAAATCAAAGAGTTTTTAATGGTGTTTGTTTACCGCCCAGAGCCCTAATAGGGATGGTCTCGCACGTGCTCCATGATGGTCTTCAAGCCAAGCCAGGTCTCACTGGCTGTGGGCAGGATCTGACTGGCTGGCAGAAGGAAGCCGTATCGACCAGTGTCTCTCAGCTCAAAGGCAAATGAGTATTTGATGCCAGAGTCATAAGCCCAGTCAATGCTTCCACCACTGGCTTGGTCTGAAGGGCAAATGAGAAGACAGTTTGGTTATGCTGTTCCCACTGGCCTCCACATTAAGTTCCACCATTACCAAGGGTCAACCAGGCTCCTACACACAGGGACCATGAGCGCAGTGAGCGCTTAGTAGGGAACAAGCTTACCAAAAAAAGTAGATTCATTTGAGAAGCAAAGCGTATTTAAATGAACACCGTACTTAGTTCTCCTTTGGTGTCTTTGGGCTCTCTGGCTTGACCCACCCATTTGGGATTCAGTCTGCTCCCCCCAAATAGGCACCACCTACAACTTCGTGACCACATCATGTCCTTCTAGGCATGTGCTAGGCAGACACTGTGTCCTCTGGGGGCGGGGGGGAAGAGGCAGTGCAAATGGAGTGAGAGACTTTGTCTCATCCTCAGGGACCTGGAGTGTAAGGGTGGAGCTGGCTTGGCTTTGATGCCAAACAGAACACCCCCATGCAGGGTGACGGGTTAAACCAACAGAGTGAGGTACACCTGTGTGGTGTGTGGCCACTGACGTGAAAGATGATGAAGGAAGGTGGCATTAGCCTACAAATAGCTAGAGCAACCATGACTCAGATGGGTTGAGCAATGGGTCAGCTCTGAGGCCCCTCCCAGAGATGGCGGGGTAGAGGTCAAATGGAGGACATAGTTGGGGCTGAGAGGAAGGAAGCCACCTACTCCCTAAGAACAAAGCTGGGCAAAGAGGAAGACCACTCCAGGGAAGAGGAGGATGAATGGTTAATACTGTGAATGAACACTGTGAAATCCTTTAACTTATGCCTTTGCCTTCACCCCCATCAGCTATGGCAGCACTTGGTGAGTAACACAGAAATCATGGTCCAACTTGAATTAAATCCCCCCAGGGACCAAAATTACTAACTTATACCTCTGATGATTCTACACAACCAAGTCTACTGAAGTCCATGGTAGACAAAACACTGGCTTGAGATGGAGTCCTGACTCAGAAAATCATTAGCTGAGTGACTTAGGCAGGTCCCTTATCTTTCTGAATCCCAGATGCTTCAGTTGTCAAAAATGGATAATAGTACTATTTGTTTTGCTGGGCACTGAGAATAGATAATGATTGTATTTCCAACCCTTTCTGGGGACTCGCCAAATGTGTTAGGCACTGTGCTATATGCTGCTTCATGTAATTTCCAACTGGGTCACCAGGTAGAACTAATATTATTCCCATCGTTGCAGATGAGGAAATTGAGGCTCAGCAAGCAAGATTAAATGAAGGATCTGGAAGAATGGAGGGAGTTGGGCATTCAATAAATGTCTGTTGTGATCTTAACGATCATTATCAAGAAGTGACTAGGACCTTACCAATGTTGGACCACATTGAGGATCAAAGAAACTGGAGGAGAGCGGTTCACAAGAAACTAAACAGCCGCATTTACAGAGTGCTTTCCAGTTAGTAAACACTTCATTCCACATCCTATCTTGTGAGCATCTGACAACCCACTTTACAGATGAAGAAACTGAGGATGAGTCACCTGCCCCAGACTACCTGGTTCTAAAATGGGGAGCTATAACCCAAATCCAAGGTCCCCATGGTTTGTGGGGTTTTTCTTTCCCCTGCATCTCTGGAAAAGCACTCAAGCAATATCTTCTCCTGCACCAAATGCCTTTTGTGCTGCTTGTCACAGCCCTTTCCCAATGCCTGGGAAGTGTCTCACTGGCCACAGAAACCCTGCCCCCTCCTGCATGAGTGACACAGGTGTTCAGCCTCAAGTTGCATATCAATGTGGGGCAGGAGGCAAAAGTATTCAGTGGGACTAGTTCCCAAGGCGGTGTTTGTCCAAGCTGGAGTGAAGCCAGGATAAAGGAGAACCGAGTTGCCCTGGGCGGAGAAGCAGTCAGAACTTCCTTGACCACTAAAGGCAAGGTTCCAGCAGATGACACAGCACACCCTATATGTGTCCTAACCGTGCTCACTAGAGAATCTTCAACATCCACTCCCTTACCAGGAAAATCACACTAAGCCTCAGCACCCCCCACCCCGGGTCGACCTTCAAAATATCTCAGATAGGAGGTATTTCTAAAATTCCTTGTAATAATGTAGCCAGGCCCCCACGGGAGGAGGGGAGTCTCAAGGGCCTAGGCTGTCGTTCCGATGACATTCTGAACTCCAGGCTCCACTCAGAGGCTGCCAACCAGAGAAAATGGGCATTCCTCTGCCTCAAGTGGCCACCCAAGGCCTGCCTTCCTGCCACCACTCAGAGGACCTGCCTCCCTGGAGATTCCTTCACCAAAAAGAGGGACAAAACCATATGGAATGCAGTTCAAAGGGCTGGGTGGCTAGAAGCAGCTCAGTCTTAGAGAAAACAGCCTTGGAAATATGTAAAAAGAGCTCCACTGTCTTCATTTCGTTTGACTTGGTGATCTTGCCTTGGGTACACACCAAAGATTATCTAAACAAAAACGAGGTCTGTTCCCACATAGTCATAAGAACCTTATTGAACTAAGCGTTGACGCAATCCAAGGGCCCAATAACTGGAATAACGAAAAACGTTAGACAGAAAATAGAACACAGACATTGATTACAAATGCATTTGTGTGCATTGACAAAATCATTAATAAATGGAACATGCTAATAAAATATGATGAGTCCTGGACTCTGCTTTTTCCTACGAAGTTTTGTTTAATTCATCATAATAGCAAAAAGTAATGTGAAAAAAAGAGACTTCTGTAATGCTACCAGGTCGGCAGAATCTGGATCTCTATCAAGAGTTCTAGGTATGTTGACAACACTGTTCGCCTGCTGCTCTCCAAACACCCTTTAAGAAAGCCTAGCAAGACTCGCGGGGGTGTGTCCTTCGGAGCCCTGGCCATGCCCAGGCCCAGCTCTGCAGACTCGCCACCCACTCCAGCCTGGGCCACCACGTCTGCGTGTCCTGCCGCTGCCTGCGGCTGCCTTCCTCCCCGATCCTGGAACGGCACCCACCTCTTTCCAGTCTCTGTCCAATGCAAAATATGTAAGTTTCTGACCTCAAAAAATGCAACTGTCCATTCTGTTTCTCCTTCCCTTCTCACCCACTGAAGATCATCTTCTCTCCTGCTTCCAGCTGCTCTCACCATCCTCCGAAAATACTCAGTTAATGTCACTGATAGGCTAGTGACAAAAGTCCAGTCAAACATTTTATTGTCATGTTTGACCTTCCCTGGCTTTGATTATCATTAATCACCATCTCCTTTGCAACCAGTGCTCCAGCCTGGCTGTCTCTCCACTTCTCTGCCAGCCCTGCTATGTGTCCCTCCGTCACCACTGACCCCTTCTGCTCCTACCATTTTGGCCTTATCCACAGACCCACAGCTCTTCCCCATCCAAACGTCCTCCTTGGTCTCCTGTTCTAACCACCTACTTTACAGTCAACTTCTTTTTGTTTTTGTTTTTAAGATTTTTATTATTTATTACTGTGGAACAGGCCAGAGGCGCAGGTGTGGTCACAGGATTCACCAGAGGAGTCACCAGAGACAGAATGGGGAGCAGAACAGGCAGATGGACGAAGTGCACTGCTGAGGGGAGCAGCAGGCAAGTCAGGAGAGATCTGCCACAACATGTGGGTCACCTCCAGGGCTGGGAGTGGGACTTGCACCAAAGTGGCTGCGGCTGCAGCTCGCTTGCACTGCTGCACCTTAACCGACTGCGCCGCCAGGGAGGGCCCTCTACAGTCAACTAGCCGAAATCTCTCTGCAGAGTCCTGAGGCCATGTTGCCCAAACCCTATAGGACACGTGTATCCACTCCAAAGATCTCAATCTCAGAATGTCCAGATTGAATTCCTTATCTTTCCAAGCCAACCTTTTACCTCCCCCCCCCAGGTTAATGGCACCATTCAATGAGAATTCAGGGAGAAATTCAGGCAAAAAAAGCCTTTTGGTTTTACCAACTAAATGTCTCCCTTTATCCTCACCAGTACTGTTCTCTTCAGACCATCATCTGTCTTTCCCCAAAACTCTTCCTCATCTTCCTGTGGGATGCTCCAACAGAGAGTCCATCTATCACTTTGGCTGCCAACATTTCATCTAAAACATGATGCCTAGAACACGACCCTGCCGAAGACTCTTCAATGTCTTCCAGAACCATTGGGGTTAAAATCTAAACTCCTTATCTTACCACACAAAACCCCAAACTCCCCCACTCCCTTTCATTCCAGCCATCCCAAACCTCCCTCTCACTCCCAAAGCCCCTCCTGCATGTCCATACTTGTAGGCTTTTGTATGAACTGTTAACCAACCAGAATGTTCCACCCTACTCTCATTCTCTAGCTACGTGGTAGTCAACCTTCAAAATCCTGCCCTTTGCCTACCTGCAGCTTTTCCTGACTCTTCGACTGTCCAACCCCCGCCCCCAACTTTCTAATCTTTTGTTCCATGGGCAGTCTACTATCCCACATATCATTTGTCTTCCTGTTTGTCTTTCATATTAAACAGTGAGTTCTCTGTGGGTCCATTATGTCTCCAAGACCTGGCACAGTGATTAGTACATAATGGATATTCAATGTAAGTGTGCTGAATAGGGTGCTGCTTATAAGAGGCATTTCTTTAAAGAATTCTTGGACATAGGAACACTAGGGAAGTCCTGGATATTCAACTGAGGGGTCTTGAGTGTGTAACTTTATCCATAAGGGAGTGGGGAGCCTTCGGGGGGATTCCAAAATCTGCATGAAGGAACATGAGGACTTCCCACTTCACTGCAGTTGTTTCTAGCTTGGGTTCTCATCCACTGTAGCACAGCGGGCTCCCCAGACTTATTCCTGACATGGCCACCCATTCCTGACTTGCACCTCTCTGGGTCTCCCCAAACTCTGTATGGACAAATGACTGCAACTGAATCTACCCACTGAACATCTGGTTCTCTAAAAGAGATGCACCGTTCTGTTCCTACGCATAGTCCACACAACTCATGCTCAGGCATGTGTCCCTCTTAGCCAGGAAAGGGAAAGTTAATGAAAGTGTGTGACTTAAGGACCAGATGTTGATAAAGGCCCATTTCAAACACAGAGATCCCACCTAATGAGCATGAGATGTAAGATCAGGACAAACAGAAAGAGAAGCAGAAGTTCTTTGCTGTAGATATTACCTAGCAAGCATCTCATGGTGAAGGCTGGGTTCCAGGTATCCCTTTCTTATCAGGGTACTGGCCCCAAATCACAGGATCTCTGCCCTCTTAGGGGGCCGTCTGTAAAAACACGGTAGATACTCACAGATGACTGAGCAGATGGGTCCCACCCTGTAGCTGGTGCCGTGCAGGCTGGCAACAGACTGGGCAGCTCTTTGAGCCACTTCGTTCTGGAACGAGAGAACCAAAGAAAAGTGGGTGTATGTCACTTGTCTCTTGGAAGCATACATGTCCCATGGCAGACTGTAATGATGAACCCAGGAAGATGAACTGAGATTCCTGGTGAATCGAGGCTATGCTCTTTTTGTTTCAACCGTTTTCACTGAGAAGTTCACTTCTGTTGTCTTGAAAATACCACGAAGACCCTCATTGTTTATGTGATCATTTAGGTGTCTGCAGGACACCAGGAATGTTATTTTCCTAGCAAATTTCCTTTTTCAGGAGAATACAAAGAGCATGGCTGGCCCTCCCTGATGGCACAACGGGCTAGGATGCAGCAGTGCAAGCTAGCAGCAGCCGCTTCAGCATGAGTTCAGAGGTGACCCACATGGCACAGCAGACCTCTCCTGACCGGCCCACTGCTCCCCTCAGCAGTGTACTTCCTCAGTCTGCCTGTTCTGCTCCCCACTCTGTCTCTGGTGAACCCTCTCATTGCCCCGAGCCTCTGGCCTGTAGCCCAGTTCTGTATGCATAAATCAATAAGTCTTTTAAAAAATTTAAAAAAAAATAAAAGAGCGTGGCTGGAAGGGGCTACAACGAATGTGTTCTGACCCCAGGATGTACTGGGAAATTTGATTGTTTTTTTTTCCACGAGTTCCCTACATTGGCTTATTTCCCTATGATTGTCTCTTTTTCCAAGCAGAGCTCAGCAAAATATTTTCCATTATTGGAGGGTTCCAATTTTGACTGATTGAGGCTTTACTGTCCTTGCTAGGGATAAATGTAAGGTCTTGAACTTAGGTCCAGGAAAACAACTGTACAATTACCAGATGGGGGAAACCTGGCGCGGCAGAATCCTCCGAGAGCCTGAGGGTTTCGGTTGTCAGTGAGCCCAGCATGAGTCAACGACACAGGGCTACTGCCAGAAAATGAATGTGACCCTCAACTGCACGAGCAGAAGTACACAGTCCGGACGCGCGCAGTATGGCCACGCTCTGCTCTGGGCTGGTTAATCCACAGCGTGAGTTTTACCTTCACTGCTGGGAGCTACCTTGAAGAACACAGACCAACCAAGGCAGGTTTGGAAATAGCAACCAGGCAGGTGAGGGGACTTGGGCCCACGCTATGGCTGCTTAAAGGAACTGGGGGTATTTAATCGCAAAAAGGGGGATCCCTAGGAGAAGCTGGCTGCTGGTCATTCTGATAATTACTGAATTTGCCTCTCAAAGGAAACTAAACCTGACGAACAAGACGATAAGCCAGTCTGGTGGGTGATAACCACAGGAGAAAACTTTGACTCTCTATAAAGCAAAACTCAAACAATCACAGAAGCCCAACATAAAATGGGTTCCCTTGAATTCAGGAAGCCATGGAATCACACACTGTAATTGAGCCCAGCTTTGGATAATTTATGGTTCTCTGGATCTACTAAAGGCATCTCTGGATCTACTAACACCTAAAGGTTTTTGGGGGGTTTTTTTGTTTTTTTTTTTAAGATATATTTATTTGTGCATACAGAACTGGGGTACAGGCCAGAGGCTCAGGGGTGGTGAGAGGCTTCACCAGAGACAGAGTGGGGAGCAGAACAGGCAGATCATCAAAGTACACTGCTGAGAGGAGCAGCGGGCGGGTCAGGAGAGGTCTGCCACACCATGTGGTCACCTCCGGGGCAGGCGGGAATCGAACTCATGCGAAAGTGGCTTCAGCTTCTCAGTGCTGTGCTTTAACCCGCTGCGCCACCAGGGAGGGCCACCTAAAGGTTTTTTAACCCTGACATTCTTTCTTTCCTCCCCTTTCCCAGCCCCCAAATCCACCTTGAGTGATAATGCTCAACATCAAACTCCTGAAAACTGTCCTAAAGACAAATTAATTGTCCTAAAGATGAATTAATTAAACATCCAACTGTTGAGATGAAAAATACACCTGAATTAAAATAATCTATTCCATTTCTGCCGACGGCTGCTGACAATAATCTATTTGAAAGTAAATTGACCAAAAGGTTCCATCTCAGGGCTTATCTCTAACATACAGGTTGCAAAAACCAAGCCTAAAAGCCAAATTGGAAATATTTGCACATTTTCTTAGTTGGAGATAGCTCTCGCTCAATTGTAAGCAATCTCCTGACATGTCACCACCCAACTTATGGCTGCCCAGAGTTTTGCTAATTCCTGACACAGGAAAGATGAGGGATGACATTAAGTTATGGAAGTGAGCATTTCACCAGCACATCTGGCAGGCGGGTCACAGCACTGAAGCACCGAGAAGGTGCCAGACCAGGAGCGGGGAGTCAGTTCACTTGGTGGCAAGCACCTGACTACAGATACAGAGCCTCTAGTCCAAACCCAAGTGGTTATTTCCTAAGTGATAAAAAGTTCATTCTTGGGAATTTACGGTCAACTCAGGCTTAATTCAGCTAGACTAAGGCAACAAAAATTTCACAATTATACTGTCCAAGGGAACTTAACTTAGCAAAGTCCACAACTAAACTCACAAACCTTTACCTGCAACACAATTTTCTCAGTAGTTGGATGGATTAACAGCTCATCCCACCTTTGCAACCTGTCACTCATCTAATCAGCACCTAACCATCTGTGGCTGAGCTGAAGCCTCAGAAACTCACCAGTTCATCAAAGCTATCTGACTTGGTGCATTTGTATCCATAGGGGTACATCAGCAGCTGGGAATAGCTGTGGATGGTAATGAAGGCCTTGATTTTTCCATGACTCTTGATAAAGTCCACAATGGAACGCACTTCAGGCTCAGAGTTGGCACTGGGTCCGTGGTATGAATCAGAGCAAGGGTTGTTGCTGGCTCCGGGCCCTAATGGGATGCAGAAGCAGCCGGTGAGAACAGTGCGCTTAAGGAGACATTGGATGGAGTTGGGTCCCTCACATACCTAAGTTCCTCCTCTGGAAACCAGAGCAAGACCGGTGTTGGATAAGGTCAAGTTGCTACCTGAGAGCAGTGGGGAAGCCTAACTGAAGAGATTCTGGACACAGCTCCTCTTTTTAAAAATATGGTTCCTCTATGTGGCAGAAAGAGCTATCAAATTAGATCATCTCCTCTCTGTGGGAGTTTGTTGGAAGAAAAGCTACATTTAATATTATAGATGGAATTCCTGCACTGGGTGGGAGTTGAACAAGCTCTTTTTCTGGGCTCCCTTCCAATTCTTTCGGTCCAAGAGTAGAAGATTCTATGCATCTGTGCTTATAAGTCATAACACCGCAAATGCGAGGAACCTCTGACACCCTTTCTACAGTAAGGAAATCATGACTACGCAGCACAAGGCCACCTCTGGCCTTGATTTTCTCAATAGCTAGAGTGACTCATGACCACTGAAGAAAGCCCACCAGCCAAGCTCTGAATGCCAGAGACTCACTGGACAGGCAAGGGCTGGGACTCCCCAGAGTCCCTGCGTGAAATGGACAAAGTGTAACTGCAATTTGTGGCCTTATTTTAAGATTCTTTTAATAAAAATAAATTTCAGGGAAAACACGGCATTGAATTGTCGGGCATTGTTTGGATCTAATGCTTTGATTTTTTTTTTTCCTATGCTAAAAAAAAAAAAAGAATTGTCAAAGCAATGAATGAAGTTGCCACCTGTCCACAGTCCATCACAACTCAGTTCCCTAGGTGTCCCTTCTTGGTTCAATGCCTCTCATTAATTCGTCTTACCAATATGTAGTGCTTTGTGTTCCAACACTGGATTTAGTGTTAGGAATGCCACGGTGAAAAAAGACAGTTTGTAACCTCACAGTTATCATACCTAATGAGTAAAATCCAAACAAATTTCATTTCTGTGATTAGGGAAACAAGGGGGTTTTAACTGGTGCCTGAAAGCATAAAGGAACCCCTCAATTTAGCCTGCCACTGAACTCGAAAAAATTAGAGCTGCAAGTCAACAAAGCCTGAGCAGAGAGCTAATATTTTCTCTTTGAATCTATTTTGAAAATCAATCTCTTAATCCTATTTGTACTTCTTTTTTATTTTCTTTCTCGAAACATCCATAGATGATGTAATGTTTCTCCTCCGAATAGATCCTAACGCCCTCTAGTGGCTGGTTTGGGGAGGCTTCCTGAGGCCTCTGCCATTGTACAAAGTCTCTTTCAAAGAGGCTCTCAGAGGCTAAGCCCGACTACAGCTTGTGGGAAAACCAAGATGTGAGACAAAATACATTAATGCTGCTAGGGAAGTCCTGAGACAGCACTGTGCGCCTCGAAAGGCAACATACTTAGGTGTTTTTCAAATAGATTTTTAAATGGTTCGAATCCTGAATGGGCTTAACAGGCTGACAGTTCTTCAGAGCCAGGCAAAATTTTCTGAGCCGACCGCCCGCCCGGGGCAAGTCCCTGTGCTCACCTGCGAAACCCGCGTCCCAGTTTCTGTTAGGATCGACACCAACGCAGAAGCTTCCAGGCACCTTAGACCGGGTCTTCCGCCACATACGATTCTTTACAATCCCACAGAAAAGGAATAGGGGGTTGGGAGGGAAAGAGAGGTGGTCATTCAACTGATGAGAAGGTCCTTAGAATTCTGTCAATTTCCCTCGCTACCCCCATAAATGCCCCTTTGGGATTACATTCATTTCCCTTGTCCGTAGATGTGTCCACTCGTCCTCATACCAGGTCCCGCCTGAGGAGTCTCACCCAGCTGAGAAGGGAATATTCCCCAGTGACTACCTGCCAAACCACGTTCCATAGAACACCAGTTCTAGTTAATGTTAACAGCAAAAAGCAAAACCAAACCCAAAAAGTGGGGGGAGAAAGCATGTTATGTGATAAAATACTTGAGAAAAGATAGCGCTAAATTGGCTAATTTATTTCAGAGCTTTCAGGGAGGTGTTTTTTAATGTTTTGTTTTGTTTTGAAACGCACCTCCAAGAGAAGGATACAGTTGGGGTTCTTCCCAAACTTGACTGTGGAACCCATTATTCACAGGGTACCACACGAGCTGAGTACTGGGAACTGTACGTGTTCCCGCTGAACACGCTACTGTAGTTCAAAAAATAAACTTGAAGCTCTAATTCATTTTGAATATACGTGGGGTCACGGTTGCCACAATAGAGTTTTGTGATGAGATTTTTTAAGGAAAAAAAGAAGAAAGTGCCTCACTCCTTTTAGTGAAACTACAGAGGATTTCTTCTGCAGATTCGAAGTTAGACTCTAGACATACTGCACAGCTTCCCGAAACCCTGCGACAAGCTGTCAGCAAGTAACATCCGCCTCCTCTTTTCTATCAACCCTACTACAAAAACACAGAGATAATTGGAGCAAATCTCCTAGGTGACTCATGGTGAACACGAAGCTCAAAAAGCCCAGCCTCACAGCGAAATGGGCTCTGACCGAGGCGATAGGTAAAGGCGCAGTGTGTTGGAATAAGACGTGATAATAAACTCCGCTCTGCTTCAGCAAGGGGGCCCCTGAGCGAGTAAGTGTTCCATCTTGGGCAAATCAGGGACAGAAAGATTGCTTTTCTTTGTTTTCAAAGTTCTTGCACATCTCTTTCGACTCCAGTTGAAGAGGAATTAAAAAGTTCAAGCTTACTTTGGTTTGAGAGAAGACGTAGCCGTCGGGGTTTGTGACAGGCAGCAGGAAGATATCCATCTTGTCCAAAAGGGAAGTAATGAATGGGTCAGTTCCATAATCAGTGGCGATCTGCACAGAGACAACAACACATGTCAATCTAAGGCTCCCTTTCGCTGAGGAAAATGGAACAGAATATTACAGCAATGTGTTTTTTCCAAATATGAGCCAGGGATCACTACTGGTTAATGAGTTTTCTAAACTACAATCCAATCTTCTTCACTGTCAATATGTTCAACATGCCAGTGTTTTTACTTCTATTTCTTGCCAGAAAAATTTACTTCCGATAAATAAGAATCCCGTATCACTTCTCCATTCTCTCTGAGAAGCAGAATTCCTCCTATTAAACCTAGCGAGGCATTGGTGAGCAATAGTGTATGTGGCTTGTAAAGACCTATAACCAAAGACATTTTTTTCAGTTTCCCTTAATCACCAAAAGTGCTCACAACTAACATCAGATTACTTAAATATGCAGAGACTTTTCTAAAGATACCGAGAACCGGTTAAAATCCATTTGGGGAATTAAATTTCTACTTGAGATCAATTGCAGTAGAGTTGAAGTTTCTGCTGGATTAAAATTTATTCATTTCCTGTGCTCAGCCAACCTAAGGCATTATTATTCAACTGTTAAATATCCATTTCATAATACCCTAAAGGTAACCGCATTTTAATTGAAGGGAAAAATGTATCAGCCGGTATGCACGTGGTTGCACATGCTTGAATGAGCTGATGTGGATTGATTTCCTTTGCTCATGAATTAACATTCTGATTTATAGCGTGTCATTTTTGAATTACTTAAGAAATACCAGACTGGGTCACACCCAGGCCAGTGTCCTGACTCCAATTCCCACCAACATGTGAAAGAGAAGTATTGCTACACCCTGACTTTCAAAATCAGATTCAGAAAAATTTTCAGAACCACCCAACAGCTCTTAACTAATTGGCTCCATAGGTCAAAGTAAACTCTTTTAGCACCTGCTTAAATATTTTATCTGAGCCTCTTTTCTTATTTTATAGATTTAGCTCGATCTAGCACATCCTGTCTCAGACCTCAGACTTGGAGGCAGCAAGGCAATTTTTCTCTCCTCTGTGCTTATGCTGAAACCTGACGCTGGGGTCCTTCCAGACTCCCTCTCAATCGCTTCTAGCCGGCTGCATTTTCAATGGAGCAC